CCATCATATCAAATCAGCAGATCCTGTGTAGGTGGAATGATGGGCACTGTCATCTGACATATTTGTAAAGCACCATGTTGGGAAGGATTTGTTAAGGGACTGCTACACCAAGTGCTGCAATTGCAGTGGGGGAGGGACAAAGTAATTGCCCTCTTTCCTTCTGTGATGTTCCACTTTGTTCTCGTGGATTTTCTTTCAGTTACTTCTTGCAAAGTTAAATTTTTCATGATTTTTATGTTGCTGCCACTTTTTACTCTTTTTAATTTTGCAGTTGTTTTTATTGATTTTATTTATAGTGTTTCTATTATTGTTATGATGGAATTTTAAATGTTCTATTATGAACCATCCAGAATATTTTATAGAAAGGCAAAATGTACATTTCTGTAACGAATAAAGAATCATAAATGAACCTAAAGCTTCTCCTCCACCTTCCATAATCCAAGCACTGGCTAAATCTGTAAAGTTGGTAGCTCTATTCACATGTGGAGAGATTTGGGGGACTATGAGCTTTTCTACATGTAGCTTTTAACTAATCATTTTACTGAGGTTTCTGCTTTGGATTCTTTGTGGGAGAAAGCTCATTTACAGATTTTCCCCCTCTTGGGGCTACCTTTTCCTGCCTTTCTATATATCTCATCGCTTTTTTTCTATGTTTCTATGTTTCTATCTCAGTCAGATTGTAAACCTGCTGGTTTGATCTTTCAGTATATGTACATCACTTAGAAAATGTTAAACACTTTATAAGTGGAAGGAGGAGGTGGAGTCCCACAAATATGAAATGGCTTGTGTGACTTGAAAATCCATTCTTAAATCCAACTTTACAAAACTGATTTCCAATCACTGCCAAACAGAAAGCTACCAGTCAAAACACAGTGAGCAGCTGTTCCATCTCTCTCTCCTTATTTATTTATTTAGAAAATTTCTATGCCACCCCATTCACTGAAGCCTCGGGGCGGCTTACAACATAAATAACTTCAATTAAAATAATATAAATTAACAGTATAAAATAAGTCGCCCCGGCCAAAGAATAAAATAAATAAATACTATTAACAGTTAAAATGATGTTTGAATAAAAAGATGGTCTTTGTTTTATGAAAAAAAAAAGAATTTGAAATAAAATTGGCAAAATAAAAAAAAAACATGGAAGCGTAATGAGTAGAAGACCATCAGCTGCAACCAGCCCCTTTGGTCCTTCTAAAATTATGTGACCTGGGCATGGGAAATATGTCAGTTCAACAAATGGGAATTTCTTTCTTATTGTTATTCACACATTCCACAACTGACACTGAAGCCAAATCTGGGGACTAATTTTTGCAGCAAGCCACACATCCGTTTCTCATTTTCCTAGCAGATGTCTTAGGACTGTATTCCACCTGCCACCCCAACAGGTCCTATTTTGCCGACAAGTGCATGCCAGTGGAGTGAGACTGTCACATTCTTTGAATGAGATTCCTTTCTTAACCTCCCTCCAGGGGGAGGAGGTTTAGTAGTGGGAGGAGGGAGCGGCTCTCTGAACACCTGATTCTCCTTGCAAAAGGAAGTCTCCCTCGGCTTACCAGTGGCACTAAGGGAAGCAAAGAAACAGCAGGAGTGTCTCAAAAAGAAGAAGCAAGCCTGCTTTTGGAGCATAGCAGAGTTACAGGGGAAAGTATTTTGAAATGCCCCCAGAAGAGTCTGCTACAGAAAGCAGCTTATGACAGAAGCCAGCTTCAGTTTTTACAGGCTGTATTATTGTTAAGACAGGATGCTCTTTTTGGGTTTCTTAGACAATAGCAAGATACAGGAAGGGGAAGGGGATTAGCCTTAATGACATTTATGTGCATTACCTGGTGATTTCCCAAATTTATCCAAAGTGAGAAGAATATAAAATAAATCAAATACTAGCCAAGGCAGCCATTTCAAATGATAAAAGACCCTCTGGATCCCTTGTAATTCCATCACTGGCAGGACTGATGAATATGCTGGAAGTAAAGAGCAGGAGACAATGGAGCCAAAGACCACCAGGTAAGACAAGTGCAGGGTACTGTATTTGCGGGGGGGGGGGGGAAACAAAAAAAAAGGGGAGAAAAAAAAAAAGGGAAAAAAAAAAGGGGGGGAAGGGGGGGGGGGGGGGGGGGGGGATATCACAATATAGGAGACAGAAAAAATAATGGAATTAAGTAAATGGGAATCAGAGGGGGGGAAGGTGGTGATGAAGAAGTTGCTTCAGGAGTCAGGGAGAGGGCAGCTGTGTTCAGCGAGTGTCAATGGTGAGTGGGTGTGCTGCAGCTGGGGGTGGCAGAAGTGGGTTTACTGGACCAAAATCACAGCGATCCATATGGAGGATGCAACTTGGAAAATGGATCATAGCAGGAAAGAATCAGTGTTAGGTGAAGCTAGGAAGGTGGGGGCAACTGGAAAGGCAGGGGATGCCTGTGATGGAGGCAAGCTCTCAGGGTTAGAGGACACAGGGTAACAGAATAGTTGGGATAGGAAGAGTTAATATGAGTGGTGTGGAGATGGGAGAAGAGGTGAGGCATGGGTTGGCTGGCAGAGGGAGTGAAAGGAGAACAAGAACTTGAAAGGGTGCACACCCAAAATTGCCCTGCGCCAGGCTTTCCCAACTTGGTACACCTTCTGATTGGCTGGACTGTATCTGCTGGGCTGGGGCTTGTTGCTTTACACAATTGACTTGTCTTGAAGCCTGTAGTGTTGCTGTAGTCCCAGGCAAGGTGAGCTATGAATTGGCTTCAAAACCATGTTTCATTGACTATGGAAGATGGGTAGGGAAAGATTTAGAAAGAAACCACTATTAAGATTTCTAATTAATTCAACTCAAGGGCATAAAGACGTGGTGCTATTTGTATGTTGCTAGCTGTATGTTCATGTGTCTGTTGCATTATGGGAGAAGATGAGGCAAAAGATAGGCTGGATGGCTGAGAGACAACACCAAGTCTGTTGTCAGTGTGAGAGCTCAGCCCTAGCACAGGCAAGAGTAACTCTGAGCATGTGCAAAGTACATCATCCATAGCACTCAGTTCATCAAAACCAATACTTTTTCTACATCTTGGGTGGGATGTACTAAAATGAAAGAAAAGGAAGGGATAATGGGTGTGAACTGAAAGTCTAAAAGAAATAACAAATAATGGAAGCTACAAGATGACATTTGACAGGATGGGGATTCACTGAAATTAATGCAAGTTTCCAGTCCACTACAAATAAAGCACAGAATGGATCACCAAAAGGAGTGGGTCACAGGGACCAAAATGAAATGAGATTACTTATAGCAGGAGCAGGAAGACTCCAGTTTTATGGAACCACCTTTGTTATTTACTGAACCTCTGAGATCCAACTGGAGCCCAGTGTAAAAGATTCAGATTTAAGGAACTACAGATCTTCAGGTAAGAGAAAAATTAAAGGAGTCTGAGTCGAGGAATTTGTTTTGAGTATTAGTACTGAACTGAACTCAGTGCTCTTCTACATTAAAATTCATTCCTGATTATCCCAAGCTTTCTTCATGCCAGTAGTATAATTTAGGGCAAGAGATGAAAATAACTTGTTTCTATTGTTCAAAAATATAGTCAGAAATTCTTGCCCATATGCTGCAAATAACACAAAGATCTACCAGCTGTTCTACCTAGTCCTATTTTATAGTGTGCTTTCTATGTCATTATTTCAAAGTCATTTTTATGTTTATTGTAATAGGTTTAAAAAATAAATAATCTGTATTAAAAGCTTAGAAAGGGATATAATGTGTAATAACAACCACAAACCATGACAGTCCCAGGAATGGAATAATGGTTCATGAGTCTGCAAAGACAGGACTAGCATATTTTTCCCAGGGAATAGCAATAGCAATAGAATCACAGCCACTTTGGGACAGCACTGAGATTTTTATCATATGCTCTGGGAGTAGAATGACAAGTACTGAAAGGAACACCTTCCTTGGACTGGAAAGAAAGAACTTGAGGCTCCTGAAACTGGAACTAGGGGCCCTAGGTATTGAATGACAAGTTTAGAAAAATATTTATGGCTGCTGGTGCTGTATTGATAAAGCTGGGATTGAAATTATTCCCGCCTCAAGCTAGAATCATGGTTCCCTGGAGTGAAAGCACAGGCTTGCAATGGGAATGTTGGTTCCTGGAATTTGAATAATAGTCCTGGAATGACCAGGCCTTCTGAGACTGGGATGTGCATTGTCCCCAAGTGTAGTCAGGGTACCATGCACCATGCCACCATTCCACACCAGCCACAATTCTAGGCCCAGATCAGGCTTGTCACAGCCCTTTCAAGCCAGTATTTCTCCCTTTGAGTGAGAAAGTTCTTAATGAATATTACACATCAAAAATTACATTACAGATGATGAAATAGAAAGGGTAATACTCAACTTGAGAGCCAGTGTGGCATGATGGTTAGAGACTGGGACTTTAGAGATCTGGATTCTGAGCTGCTCTTGGAAGCTCACAGGGTGATTTTTGACCCCTTATTGATTCTCAGCCTAAATAGCTCAAAGGGTTGTTGTTGTGAGGAGAAAATGGAGAGGTGGAGAATCAGCAAGCCACCTAAGTTTGCCCGCAAAACGAAAAGTCGGGCTGCAAACGTAATACATAAACAAACCATCTGTTTATTTTTCTATTAACTCCATTCCTTTTCATGATCCACCCCATGCTTTCTTTGTAGCTTGCATGGATTTCAATGAAGCCAGGTCATGTCTCTTGGCATTCTTAGTTCCCATTATTTCCTATGGACCTCCAGAACGCTCCTATTATTCCCCTTCTTGTTTCCCCATTAGTAGGGATGCAGTGTGGGGAGAACTTGCATAAAGACCGTTTACGGGCACCGGTAAACCGCGCACGGTAAGGGCAGAGCCCGCAAGGGCAGCGGCAGGGAAACGAAGGGGGCAGGATGGCGCCCATCCCCATCCCTAACTCCCCGAACCGCACTTTTGCGCCTCTCTTCCCTCAGCTTATTCTAGCGGCCTATCCGCGGCAGGTGGCACCGTTGGGAGGGGTGTAGCCGCTCCAGCCTGTCGCTGTCGCGGGACAAGAAGGCCCCGGGGCCGGGCGAAGGGGCGGTGACTGAAGCGGAGGAAGCCTGGGGCTTCTCCGGGAGCCCTGGCTTTGGTCGGGGGACACTCCCCGTTGCCCCAGGCAGGAGGCGGCCCTGCGCCTGGCCTGGCCCGGGCCGGCGCTTTGGACCTATCGTACCCCGCGCTCCGCTGCTCCTCCTTCATGGGGCGGCTGGCCGGCTGTTTTGTAGGCCCAGGCGGACGGGGACGGCTCCTCGAGGTCGCGTTGGTGAGCTTGCCGGCCAGAGAGGCCGTGACGTGGACAGAGGTCGGGCTGGAGGAGCCGGACGGGCAGGAGGAGGAGGAGGAGAAACGACCGCTTCGCCTTGAATTTACGGAAGGTGAGAGTCACACTCCGAGCCTCATTCGCCCCACTACCCGCCCCCTGAAAAAAGTCACCTGCCCGCGAAAAGCGAACCTGCTTTCACTGGAAAGCATCATTCCCTCTTGACCCGTATCGCTTGCTTATTATTTCTACCTCGACAGAATTTCCGCGCTGCTCCTCCCGCCCTAGTAGTGAAGCCTCATTTTGCAGTGAATTTCGCTTGCGCGCTCACCTTCCCTCCCCACTTGCCAATCAGTTGCTTTATTCCAGTACGCGTTTACTTCTCAAGGAACGGTGTTTTAGCAATGTTTTGGCAAAAACCTTCGTAAAGGAATCCGCCCAAATTAATTGGGGGGCAGAGGCGGCTGCTCTCTGTTTAGGATTGTACTTATTAGACGGAGATCCCCAGTACGCATTTAACTTGGGAATGAGCTTCATCAGTTCCGCAGGTGTTCCAAGTGAACATATCAAATTGCAACACAAAGCCCCTATTTAGTTGACCGGGGGGGGGGGGGTTGTACTATTTCCCCTTGGCTCTGGTTTCCTAAGTACAGAATACATATTGATTGGGATTTTTTGCTGCAATATGCAGCGTTCGTTGAGAATTAGTGATGTTTAGGTGGGCATTGGAGTAGACTTTGCTGAGGAAATTCAGACTTAAATCCCCACTCAGCCATGAAACTCACTAGGTGACCTTTGAGCCACTCTCATCTTAACTCTTCTTATAGGGTTCTTGTGATGATGGTGATGATAAAAAGAATTGGACATGTTCACCAACCTGAATTTTTCAGAGGAAAATAGGATTAAAAATCCAATATTTAAATTGTGGAAAAGAAGTGTACATACAGTATTTCCAACCAAAATGGTATTCATATATTCTAGACATGGTATTGTGCTGGATGCAAATAGTAAAGTGTTAAACAAGGCTGAGCAAGTAACTTGTTCAGAGCCACACATAAAACTCATGTGAAAGGGCATTTGGATCTGAGTTTTCCAGGTAAGTTGGCTAATGTAAAATTTTGTTTATTTTTCATATCATCCAACAGCCAAAGCTATCCAAACTATTCACATTAGTTAAATACAAGATAAACGTTTAAAACTATGGTATGAAATAATAATCATCAACTAAAACCTAGCAGCAGTGCAAAGATTTAAAATACAGAAACAGAAAGATTAAAATAGGTTGAAAAAATAAGGTTTTCACCTGTGTCAAAAAACCCACAGAATTTAGGTGCTTAGGTGTGCCTCTGTGGGAAGTTTATTTTATATTCTGGCCACCATAACAGAAAAGGCCCTCTTCTTAGTAACTACATACTTGACTTCTTTTGGTGGGAGCTCCCAGAGAAGGACCACTGGAGATAAATGTAAGTTTTGAACAGGTATATGGGAGGAGATGCTCCCCCAGGTAAGCTGCCCCCAAGCCATTTAGGTCTCTGAATGTATATAACAGTTCTTTGAATCAGGCCCAGAAATTGACTGGCGACCAATACAGATGAAAAAGTACTGCCATAACGTAGTCATGTTAGCCAGTAGTCCCCATTAAAAAGCTTGCTACCCTATTTAGGACTAGCTGAAATTTCATGACTTTAGGCTGACCCATGTGTATGTAGTGCACTGTAGCAATCTAGATAAGAGATTACCTCACCAGGCTATGTCTGTCCAAACAAGGCTCTCCATGACACCAAGCCCATCTGTTCCTCTAGTGACAGTACTGGATCCAAGAATACCTCCAAGCCTGCACTTTTGGAGGAATTCAACACACTTCAGAATAGGTTGAACACACATAGCTGGGCAGGGCAAACACACTGTCTTGCCTGGGTTACTTGCCTTTCTATCTTCCACTGCATTGCCACTATTTGTCATTATATGCCTTCAAGTTGTCTCCTACTTCTAATGACTCTATGAATAAGCACCATGCAGAATATCCTGTCTTTGACAGTCCTGCTCAGCTCTTGCAAATTCAAGGCTGTGGCTTTCATTATAGAGTCAGTCCATCTTGTATTCTGTCTTCATTTTGTTCTTCTCCCTTTGACTTTCTCTAGCATGATTGTCTTCTTCAGTGAGACTTACCTTTCATGATATGTCCAAATTATGATATCTTCAGTTTTGTCCATTTTTACTGCTAGGGAAAGTTCTGGCTTGATTTGATCTAGGCCCCACTTGTTCATCTTTTCTGTAGTCCACTGTATTTGCAAAGCTCTCCTCCAGAACCATGTTTCAAATGTATTAATTTTCTTCCTGTCATCACCACTGTTTCTCTTAAAACTAAGATGCAGTGGACTCTCCCCCAACAGCAGTATGCATGTATATATTTATTGTTTAAATTGCATTTAAATTTACAGTTTGAATGTAATTTAAACCAAATTTCTCTGTGATATACATTACAAATCTATTTAATAAATAGTTGGAACTTCCACACTATATCCCCTTCTAAGCAGTAAAACTTTATAATGTTTTTGCAGACTTATTTTTTTCAACTGCTTCTATCTGTTTGCCTTTAAAGGCAGCCTTAAAGAAAAGTGATTTTTACCCTGTTCACACTTCACAACTACCCCAGGTTTTACAAAACCCTGAATAGTTGCAAATGAGTGGGAATGAGAAAGCATCCTGTCTCCTGGCCACCTAATCACTTCTACTGAGCTAAGCATCCCAAGGATGCAAAACCTGTATCTCCGTTATGTTTACCATGACATCCAAACATGGAATTCTGGGTTCTGCATTCAGGTACCCAGGGTAATAGTGCCATGATGTGCATCATCCATTCTTTGACTGTAAGTGACAAATCACAAAAGTATATAACCTATAGTTGTTTAATTTGCAAATGTTATTCAACATTATTGGATGGTTTCCTAATTGTCTTTTATAGTTTACTTCTGTGCAGTAAAACATCTTGTTCCAAAAATATCTTCACCCACATCTCAAAGGAAATATTATTTGTTCCAGTTCTGCTGCTGTTGGAACGCATATGAGAGAACTTTTAAAAATGAGTCAGCTCACTGTTGTTTTTATTTCTTGGTCCACAATTGGCAGTGGCACTGGGGATCTTGCAGGTAGTTTCATAGTTGCAGTAGCTATTTAACTTTCGTTTTACAGCTTTAATTACCTGATAAGGAGTTCAGAAAGAATGATTTCTAATCTATGCTGAAACCTTATATTTATTTATCTGAACTCAACTCAATGGGACATACTTTAGAGTATATAAATACTGAATAAACTTATATTAATGTATATCCCTACATAGTTGGATGATTCAATGCAATCGTGAGCAACTGGTAGAAAATAAAAACAGGAGATTGATATGGGCTTTCTGTTTCTATCTGACCATACTTGTCCTCAAGTAGACTTATATTACCTAATGAGTTTGCTCTATGACACATCTATTTTTTTCAAGCTCAGAATTGAGTAACCAGCTGTTACATGTTTACTTAGAGGAAATGCTTATAGAAAGTCCAATGTTGGTCTAGATAAGCTTATCATTCTTTCACATATGCATGAAATGAGCTCTCCTTCTATTAACTCCACATCAGAACTGGTTTTGTGGATGTTTAGTCACTGTGGCAAATGCTGATTGTTTAATTTCGACAGCAATTGTTCTGCAGCAAATTCTGCAGCTCCCAGATAACATGCAGTCACTGTATGTCCTCATGTTTACTGTCTTGGCCCCATATCTACTGTTTATTAGCATTTCTTAATGATGTAATAATTTCTTGCAATCTACTCCTGAGGTTTCTATGGATGGAGTAGGCATGGATTTCCACCTGTTGAGAAACAAACAAAATCTGGGAGCTACATTTCTCCTCAAGTGTGTGATTACTAGCATGGTGAAACAGCTGGTCATCTCTCATGCCCCAAATAAAGTTTGACTGCCTCAATTCATAATGTAAATCCTGTGAAAGTATCCTTAGAAGTTGGACATCAATCGCTAATAGGAAAGCTGGACAAGAGCTGGAGAGGTTGGGAGAACAGTGCGTGCATGCATGATACCCCAGATTCCATTTCCAGCATCTACAGGTAGTTGGATTAGACTTCTGCCCTAGACCTTCCAGAGCTTCTGCATGTTAAAGGGTGACTATATTGGGCCAGGCATATCAATACTTTATCTTAAACTATGACAGCTTCATATGGACATATTTAATTTGTCCTGTTATTTCTGAAAAGATACTAAGTTAAAATTTACACCTTGGTTCTAATTGCATTTAGTCAGTCCTGTGTTTATCATATGAAGTAAATACCCAGTTGCAGAGAGTGAAGAATGAGATAGATTGAAGAAGGGTTAGTGTTCGGCATGTAAAAAAAATGATGTCCAGAAATCATGTTTTCTATTTTAACTATCTGATTAACTCAGCTGTCTCCCATCCATTGTTAAGATAATGTTGGTTCATACCTAAGTGTCATCCACATTTTTTTAAAAAGATACCCCCTTTAATACTTACATTTGTGGTAAAATTTCAATGTTTCTCTTCAGCAGAACTTGAGAACAAACTAATATATTTTGCATAAACTACCATTTCGGGAAAAAACATATCAACTATCTAATTTTCTTTTGGCTTAAGGCCTACTTAAGAGGAAAATAAATGCATGCAATTTAGACTGTGTTTTCTGTATGCTAATTGATAGCCTGCATGTTTTTCCATTAATGAGTTCAGTATGATGCCCTTTCAGGAAATGAGTTACTAGAGATCAGTGTAGTTTGCCAGTCGTGAAACATGTTCAGCTTGGTGAGCAGATCTGATATGTGGTAGGAAGGGCTCCATATGCCATTAAAAATACTGTGTATACCTAATTATTATGTATTAGTAAAGGGGAAAACCCAGTATCATCTTTGAGGAATATAGTAGTTATCTATCTGGGTTGAAGGTCCTAAGTTAGCATATGGCAATTCTCCTTTCATTTACCAAGCTCTTTGAAATGCAGTTAATTGGTTTGTGCTTTCTCATTTCTCTTGTTTAGCTGCTATTGGCTTAATACTCATTGGAAAATTGCCCCTTCAAATGTTACTAAAAAGCAACTTAGAGG